AATAATATGTGCACAACAAGCCAAATTAGCCTTTTTTAAGTGATTAACTACCGATGGTCTCGTGAACAAGACCAATCTCTGGAGCGATCTAGGGGAGAGCATTTTTTAAGTCAACTTGTTAATACTAGTCGAGGGAACCCATCCATGTATAGAAGGCAAATCAAAGTGGATGTACTAATTACACCAGACATTAAGTTTATAATGTTGATTGTCGGTCATTGACCTCAATCATCTTAAACCTGATCACCTTCACAGACAAAGATGCATTTCTATTCGATCATCCTCATTCTGACGCACTTGTACTTGTGGTTCCTATTTATAGAGTCAATGTTCATCGAATATTGGTCGACACGGGAGCTTATTCAACTATCTTATACTTCAACACTTTCAAGAAAATGGGGTCGATTCCAAAGAAGTCAACTGGGTAAAGATAGAATTCACGGTTTCAGTGGAGAACGACCATACTGATAGAAGAGATCACTCTACCAATCTGATTTGGTGGGGACGAGAGAGACAATACAATCCTAGAGACCTTCAAAATTGTCGGTCATCATAATGAGTATAATGCTATTTTGGGAACTTTGAGTTATTGTCCTTGTTTTTCATTATGCCCTCAAATTTTTGACCTCCGAAGATCCCGGTGCACATTATGGAGATCCAAGGGAAGACAGAGAATGTTTACTGGCAATCCCAAGAACAGAAATTCATATGGTCAATGAGGCAAACAAAAATGAAAAAGAAAACCTTAATCCAATAAATCCCGAGATGAAAGACGATACAGTCGAGTCGGCGTCCCCCAAGTTACTACAATCTGAAAGTAACACACGACGTACTTGTGATTGATTCTCCAAAGGGCCCGTTCAGATGATCTAGTTCTAACGATCTCATGGAAGAAAATTTTAACCATTGATAACAGAAGACGACCGGGAAAGGAGCCCATGAAAGAGGACAGTCAGCTCGATTTGCACGAACATCACAAACATAAAGGAGGTGAGCTGGCCAAAACAATGGAAAAGTGGAAATCATCCACGTAGATGAGTCGATATGTCAAAAACAGCTTCGCATGTGCGAAAGGTTGAATGAACCTATCCAATTAGAGTTAGATTAAATTTCTCAAAGCAAACACGAACATATTCGCATAGGCCCACGAAGACATGATTGGTATTGACTCAAGAGTGGCATGCCACATATTAAATATCGATAATATTGTGAAAACAATATCCTACAAGAAAGAAGAAAGCTAAGAGCTGATAGGCAACAGACATTAGAAGAAGTTATTAAGCTAATCGACAACCAATTATCCGAGAAGCTCGTTACCCATTCACCATTCAATCTGACATTTCATTATTTCATGTTATTGTTTCTTCATTTCCTTAATTTCAGTTCTTCCTTAGAGTAATGCTAAAGAGCCAACTGTTAGCTCCGTTATAGAGCCAACAGCCAATGGGACAACTCCATGTGGGGCTGTCCCACATTGGAGTCATGTGGGACGTCCCACATGGGCTGTCCCATTGGTTGTTGGCTCCCTAGCATTATTGTCTTCCTTATTTTACAATTAAGTTCACCCAAATTCTATTATCTACTCGAGAACCCCAATTAATTATATTATCTACTCGAGAACTCCAATTTAACCACCTATTAAACACTAACACAAACCGAATGTGTAACAAGTACATTCTTAAGGGCGTTTTATTTTTCTCCCCAACACAACATAATAAAACTTTAAAATTGTTTTCTCCACAACATGCTGGCGACACTTGAACAAACAAGCTGGTGCAGAATAATAATTATGATTATTATTACTGTTATTATTATCATTATTAGTAGTAGTATTTTTATTATAATATTTTATTATTATTTTCTTCTTTCTAGTTGGTAGGAGAATATTTATTTATTTGGTATTTACTTGTTTAGCAAGATAGGGATTTAGACTTGAACTCTATATATTGTGTCATTCTCCCTTCAAGCCGATTGGCTATCTTTGAATAAACTTATCGTATTTTAAGATTTTATATCTTATTTCTCTTTCGTTTATTGCTGCGCTTCATCAGTTGGTATCAGAATTCAGTACGATCACGATGTTGTCGCGCCGACGAGATGCTGCAGACGACAGGCGTGACACCGCCATGTACGAATTGAGCCGCCATACCGAGGAGTTTGGCCGTGAGCTCAAGACGATGCGTCGTCAAGTTGCAGATCTGTCCGCGGAGATCGGGGACTATCGTTTTACTCTCCGTACCATGATGCACGTGGATTGGCAGACGTACCGTGACGCCGACGACCGGGGCGTGCACGGGGGATTTAGCGGTGGGCGTGGTCCAGGCAGGGCTCCCCACGGACGAACACCACAACTGCCGTCCGGCGATGACGACGGTGAGCAGGTGGCGGGTCGGGAGTACGACGGTCCACCGATTTTTGACGAAGAGCCACTCGTGGCGGACGACGACGTGGCAGAGGTGATGCTTGGCTTGTCCGAGTCCGAAGGCCCCCCGATATTTGATGAGCCACTCGTGGCGGACGATGATGTGGCAGAGGAGAAGTTTGGTTCGATCGAGTATGAGGGCCCCCCAATTTTCGACGAGGAGCCGTTCGTGGCGTACGACGGTCCACCGATTTTTGATGAGAAACCGGAGAAGATTGGAGACATTTTTGTATGACGTTCCTCATCCACACATTCTTTCTATTTGTGATGTTATTGATGGACTCGTGATTCCAATTGTCAAGTACGGTGTCATTTTGAGATGGGTCTTCAATTCGACTTATACATTCAATTTTACGAAGGATATGGCCCGAATCGTGGTTTTTTTTTGGTGCGGCTCCTGTGGGTTTGACGGCATGGTCAATGCGCCGTGTTGGATGCAAGGGCAAGGAAACAGCTTGGTCTCGTCGTCTCGGATTCGAGGGCGAATCCTCCTCAACCGGGGGAGGATGATAGAGAATGATATTATTATTATTATTATTATTATTATTATTATTATTATTATTATTATTATTATTATTATTATTATTATTATTATTATTATTATCTTGGAGAATAAATTAGGAATTAAAGATCTTGTCTTGTTGGAAAAGTTAGGAATAATGTTTAGGAGTCTTATTTAAAGGGCTCACCATCTATTGTTTTATTCAGTTGAATATGAAATAAGAATTGATTGAGTTTGTGAGTTTTACGTGTTTTACGAGAGAGTATCTCGTTTATCCTTCCCATTCGTACGTTTCCCCTACATCAGTTGGTATCCAGAGTTAGCTACGATCCACGATGCCGCCAAAGAGGAACGATTCGGCCGACGACAGACGTGATGCGGCGATTGAAACCCTCACTCGCCAGCACGAGTCGATGGGCCGCGATTTGGCGGACCTAACGGCGGGCATGGAGGATATTCGTGAGGCTCTCCACACCTTGATGCGACGCGAGCAGACGAACCGTGACGGGCCCGATCATCGGGACGACGGTCGCGGTGGGCAGCATGGTGGCCGTGGGTCGCGGTCACGCGTTTTGGTGGTGGCCGACGTGCGCCGTACGAGGAGGAGGGCGGCGACTCGGACGCTACGGAGGAGGAGTATAACCCGTTTGGGCGTGATCAACCTCGTGGAGACGACGACCCGCGCGGCGAATGGCGTTGGGAGAGTGGGTTTCTCGTGGACATCCTCAAATTCGACGGAGAGCAAGATGAAGTTATACTAGATTCGACTCGATTATACTAGATTTCGTTTATCCACGATAGGTGTATCTAAGCGACTATCTTAAGGAGTTCGAGCGATTGGCATGTCGCGTACGAGGCTGGCCCGAGACTGCGTTGGTTGGGACCTTTATTGGCGGTTTATTACGTGTCAATGTTCTGAACGTGTGAACGATATATCGCGAACGATAATCCGACGAACGTCCGCCCATTTTTTATGAGGAGCCTCCAGTGATGAAGGCATATTTATGCGATAATATGGGTCGTGTGGGACGTGGCCGAGGTTGAGTCTTCAAATGGGAAGCCATCGTTCATACTTGATTTTCAGAGTATCTTGGCCAAAGATGGTTTTTGGAGCCGAAGCCGAGGCTCAATAACTGGTGGGCCATTTTCGATTCTCTCGCGAAGTCTCCCAACAACAAGATGCTTGCCCGTAGTTATGGATTTGAGCATGGTGAACGATATGGTATGTTTGGTGTTAATTCTGCTGTGTGAGTTATGCGTAGGAAGGTATGTATATGTACATTTGTAGCAGTACAACAATTGGTCAAGCTTATGTTTCTCATCTGGGTTGTTGGGCAACCTTCGTCTTTCGTATTCGATCGGGAAAACGTCGGGTTATTCTTGTCATGGGGACGTCTAACGGAAATGGATCGGATTCGAGGGCGAATCCTGCTCAATCGGGGGAGAATGGTGCAGAACAATAATTATGACTTTATTACTGTTATTATTATTATTAGTAGTAGTATTTTTATTTTAATATTTTATTATTATTTCCTTCTTTCTAGTTGGTAGGAGAATATTTATTTATTTGGTATTTACTTGTTTAGCAAAATAGAGATTTAGACTGAAACTCTATATATTGTGTCATTCTCCTTTCAAGCCGATTGACTATCTTTAAATAAATTTATCGTATTTTAAGATTTTATATCTTATTCCCCTTCCGTTTATTGATGCGCTACATCACAAGCCCATTTGTTCTTGACCCAATTTTAATCCATATATCACTTCATATTTCTTTCTTTATACATATAACATGAAATTATTGAAATTATTTTCACATCACCTATAATTGTTTATAAATCTTCCATTTATGTCAAAAAATGAATTATGAAACCAATCTTTTTTATGAAAAACACATTTTATTTAGTAGATCATATAGTAGTCATATATATTATATATACATGGCGTAGAGAAGAGCATACATAAAAAACACTAAACAGAGTAGTAGAGAAGAGCATACAGTCATCAACACACAAAGGCTGCATGCCCAATTAACAAAAACACATATATCAACTTTAAGTGTGGTTGGTCTACACTCTAGAGTTCCTGCTTGGTCGGCTTAACATCACCGTTGTCATTCCCTTTCTCCTCAATACTGATCACTTTCGGCTCCTTCTTCTCCTTCTCGGCCAGCTTCGGGACGCTGATCCTCAGCACGCCGTCCTCGAGGCGCGCGCTCACCTTCTCCATATCCGCATT